ATCGAAGCAGACTCGCTAAGTTTATTCAAGTGGAAACAGAAGTATTGAGGAACTTTATTCATCAGCTGTGTACAGAGATTACGCAAATTGATTGCGATTGCGATGAGGCACTCTAATATTATTACTTTAACATTGCCATATTGATTCGGGGATCGTGAGAGGAAATCTCGCACTTTCACTTCTCATTCGTAAAAATAATTTTATGCTCAAGTAAGTGCTTTTGTGGAATGAAACGCCATGAAGTTTCTCTCTTTAAACGTGGTTCTTCGAATTAATAAAATATTGAAAGGTGTATGAATTGATTTTACTTCTTCATTCGCAGTTGTAAGCTACAGATTATATGAATTACAACGAATTCTTTAAAAAAAGTTTAATGTACTCGTAGTCGTACTGGCTGGAAAAGAAAATATTCTCAGACCTTAAATAGGTAGATTTTGAAATTTGATTATATAACATCATACGCAGGGCATTTAAGGGCATAATACTAGTTATTTAAGGCTTTATTAACAGTTATTTAAATAAATACTCATTTGCTTAATAATACCAGTTGACTTCTATTGCAGTTATTATGAAACGAAGTCATGAATCGTGATTGTTAGGGACGAAATTTAACAAATAATTACCTTTGTAACGCACCAACTAATGTTTCACGCGATCCCTTCACAAATGACGTAGGTAAATATTAGCCTAAAATGGCTACCAAAATTGACGATATGCAGTGCTTTCTCGCAGTTTGTTTTTGAAGAATTAATACCTCGCGTAAAACTGTAATTCAATTGTTTACCGTAGCACTAGGTAAAACACAAGAGCTGCTTTCAAAATCTCAACAGCCGCAATGTGAGACGTCGAAACAAAAGAAGTCACACCAAGCGATTATATTATTTTTTACTACAGAAAGCGAAGAGTAAAATAATATCGCTATCATTTCAATTGTCTAATACGATCATTTAATTCGCACTCTAGTTTTGTGAGGGTTGCTTCATTTTATTTCTATCACGATCATTTTATTCTATCCTCCCTCCGCTGTTCCATTCCGCCCACAACCGGGCCGTGTTTAATTATCGCGCTCTGTTTGTGCACCAGGGCTGAATTGCCTGCGTTTGGCGTCGCCCGCGGAGCGTAAGTACCTTTTATATTGAGTTTGCAACCGGGATGGAAGGCTTCCCACCCCCACCCATCCCTGTGCAAACAATAAATCATAATCACAAGTATTCCGCCGGCACACGTCCGGCCACCCTTTTGCTTTAATAGTAATTCTGTCATAGACGTGCCACTGTTCGCTGGGCCTAGGGAAAGGTACAGAAGTGAGAAGGGAGAAAGAAACCTCCCTCCATGCTTTTGTTTCAAGGTTAAGATTTATTCCACTGCAATTGAGGAGATGGCTCTCTGGATCTCTGAAATCCAAAATACGCGCTTCCTTTGTCGATCGACTCCGAAGTTCCTCCAATCGCAGGCATCGCAGGGCGCTTCTGCTCTGGAAGCTCTGCAGTGTTTGCGAAAAGCGAGCGCGTGAGTCGGGTCTGTCTCTTCGTAGGTTATTATTACGCAAACAGAAGCAATACTAGTCAAGGCGGCACTAACGCCTACCGGCACCACGCAGCTCTTAACAGCACTCAACTTCAATGCAACACCAGCTCAATTTCCTGCAAAGCCAGCGTTTAAATAACTTTTTAATTCAGCAGTTTTTATTTTTTTCTTAAAACTATTATTATTGTTGACCGTTAAGGATTTAACAGTCCGCTGTCCGTTAAGAACAATTGAAATAAATCAGATGGCGTACGAGTACACTTATTCGAAGAAAAGCTGACCGAACATGAAAATGATATACAATAACAAGATTATTATTATGCCGGTGTGTTGGTGTGGCGTGGCTGTCGATGGGTGGGCGTGGGCTGTCGGTGTGGTGGGCGGTGGCGCCCGGTGGTGTAGCGTGGGCTGCGGTGGGAGGGTGTGGCGTGGGCATGGTGGGTGGGCTCGTGCGTGGGCGTGAGTGTGGGGCGCGCGCACGGAGGCCGACGCGAAGAAGTGAGTGACAGGATGACCGCTGTCGCCGGGAAAGAGCGCAGCGACAGACGCTACGCATCCACCGCAGCGGGCCGCGTTTAAAGAGCTGCTCTTTCGTTCAGTTATTTTGTATGATTGCTCCAGTGTGAACGAAACCTCTGTGCGTATCTAAAGCTGCCAACATAATGTTTAATTCATCAATGAAGATTTATTTGAGGGTTTACGAACCATATGTCATAGATTTAGGTCACGGTATGCCAGTCGAGCCACTTGAGACTAACACGACTAGATGTTTATTTTTAGACCCAAGTACGATGAATGTTATTTGACAATAATTAAACAAGGCGATATAAACCTTCTGAAACAGTAGTTCATGCAGCATCCACAAATAAATTAAAAAATGCAATAGTAAACCCCTTCTTGGAAGATTTCATCCATCCTCACTTGTTCTTCCAAAACAGAACCATAACCACAAAATCTTGCGATGTATGCACCTCTGCCCCTGGCAGCTATCAGTTGCTGAGAGTTTCATCCAATCAGGAGCAAAAACGTCACCGCAGTGATGCTCACCATGGTGACGTCTCATTTGGATGAAACTGTCCACAACTGATACTTGACAGGGGCATAACTGCAAATTTCGTAGTATAAAAAGTCAGCATCTTTTCGTCTTGTACTGTATTTTACGGTATTATTATTATTATTATTATTATTATTATTATTATTATTATTATTTTTATTATCATTATTGTTATGAATGTAAGTGTTGTAATTTTTGCAATTATTGCCATTAACTGCCACCGGGTGATACCCAACTGCAGTTCTAATAAATGTATGCATGTATGTATGTATGTATGTATCTATTAGATATCTTGAATTCTATCCCCAACCCATAGATCTGATATCCGCAGCAACGACTTTTGCCCTTTAAACTAAATCACCAGACCGAAATCCTCACGGTACGTCTCATATGGAATAAAACAAACTTGCCAAGCCAAATCTAAACAACCTACATTCTACAACAACTTAACAAATTCGCCATTCTTAAATGAAGTGGGCGAGGCAAGGCAATAGCAGTCCAGTGATGAAACGGGAGAAGGTGGGGCGGAAGTGTTCACAGCATGAAGAGGTCGCGCGGAACAGTGAAATAAAACGGGAGGGGAAGAAAAGAACATTGAGAAGTGCAGGGCAGGAGGAAGCGCAATGCACGACGGAAAGAGGTGCGGGTCAGCCGTGGTGTTGGCTGGCGTAGAGGTGGGAGGGGGGGGGGGGGGCAAGGGCTAGGTACTTCGCGGAGGCGTTCTCATACCCTGCACAAAGGGTTGCACTGGCAAAAGAACAGGCGCAACCAGGGCTTTTGAACTCCCTTTGACAAAGGGCTCAATGCGACCCCACCCTCCATACGCATCCTGCGCTTTGGCTCTGCAATTGGGCGGGGTATGGTTGTGATTATCTTCAGTTTAGATGGTCCAACATCTAACCAGTTGAAACACGAGAGACCGTATTTCCACAGCCACATGATAATGCTACATTTTCGTAGTATTGCACTGTATCTACTTAACGCAGCCAACAGACGAACGAAAAGGCACTCTTGACATGACTTAAGGAGTTAAACTTTCGTTAAAAACAATCAGAACAAATGAGTTAGAGTGAAAGATTAATGAAGAAATGGTTCTCTTTCCTTATATGTTTAACGTACAATGGACAATGGCAAAATTTTGGCGGGAAAAATAATAACGCATATTTTTTGAGACTCTTACACACTCGTCTGGGTAATTTGATTTTTATATTGCGTAGGTAGAAAATATGAAACATATGGCACAGTGGCACATTACTTTCATTTAAAACTTAAGTCGGTGAAACGACATTTTCTCTTGTGCAAAATGTTCACTCCAGTACTAGGGTTCAGCAACAGGACAGCAATACAGATGTAGATTTTATCAATATGAACTAGCAGAACACGGTAAGAACATTCGAGGAATTTGAACATTGATATATGCAGTTTGGAAGATTATTTTCCACGAAAACTTCTTTTTCGACGAAGTTCTGTCCACAAGTTCTGAGAAATCGATTGTCACGTCGCTCCAGGAACCGGTTCCATTAATAACCTGCCGTTTCGAGACGGCACATTCGGAGTGGATCCATGAAAACGCGGAAGAGCGCTCCGTATGTGGCGTTCCTCAGGGGCGTCGGCGCGGCCTTTGCTCTTCTTTTTGTGGCGCCGCTGAAACGTCTTGTTTACGTTTTCAGGCGTTTCTTGCATAGCACAGCGCTTTACGAGCTAATAACGGCAGAATAACGTTGTTCTTCGGCGCTCGACGCCTCCTTCAGCTTCTTTCGAACATTTGTGGCCACCACACTAGAGCTGACAACGAATATCTTTGTCATCAAGATTAGCTGCTCCTGTGAGCGTACTTCGCTCGAAATGAATCATTGCTTCTTAGTTGGTAATACTGTCACATTGGATTCCACTGGTCTTTACAGGGCCCTGGATTGTGCTGAAAGTTTATTATCAAAGGCGCAAAAACCGTAGCAACTAAATTAGACAAAAAAATAAGTCACTTTTTTTAACGTACTTTTTGAGATTCTACAGGTTATTGACCTTTTGCATCCATTACATCTGTTTAGTTGCTTTATACATTATGTCATGTAAAATGGTATGGTTCACTAATACCATGTACGTAATAATATGTTGATGTGCTGTTTTTTACTTATATATAAACAGTTGCTACTAAACTGGACACAAATAGTTCCTGGAATTTCCCATCCACGCTCACCATTCTCCACAAATACAAATCTTGTTAGTGGTAACAAAACAGTTACTACCCTACAGTGTGGCAGGGCTAAGTGAACGCAGGTTGGAGATAGGATATAAAATCTGAATTGACATTCAAAAATTTATCGATGCATTGTTATAATATTTATTTTTTAAATGCTCATTAATACATTTAAGTATTATTGATTCTTAAAAATGACATTAAAATTTCCAAAATAGACTCCGCAAATTCACGTACAAAGTAATAATAGCAGATATCTCTCAAGAAATAATAATCTAGTGTAGACATTTCTTTCCTTCGATTCGACGCTCTTCAGTCCCGAAGACCCGCGCAGGTTGGCTCAGCTCGCCCTTTCCGTTGCTTCTTGGCGTCAGCAGAATTTGCCTTCCCCCAGGCATGCATACCTGCAACAACAGAGAACATTCACTAAGGAAGGTGTTCAATTCAATCTCTGAGTACGCATTTCTTGAGTCACTTGCATCACGCCGGCCGTCGATCAGTCACTGTTCGAAAAGACGACCCCCTCGGTCCATTTGATCAACCACGAGACGTAAGGAAATAACTGACTGCGATTTTCATCAAGACAATGGTACACTTCCACACAGGTGGTGAAGCATATTATCCCAGAAAAACATAATGGTCATAAGGACGTCAGAGAAATAATAATACTAATAAAAATAGTTATAATACTACTACTACTACTACTACTACTACTACTACTACTACTACTACTAATAATAATAATTATAATAATTATAATAATAATTATAATAATAATTATAATAATTATAATAATTATAATAATAATTATAATAATAATAATAATAATTATAATTATAATAATAATAATTATAATTATAATAATAATAATTATAATTATAATAATAATTATAATTATAATAATAATAATAATTATTATTATTATAATAATAATAATACCATCATCATCATCATCATCATTATTATTATCATTATTATTATCATTATTATTATCATTATTTTTAACAATGAATATGTCAAACAATATAAACACAAAACAACACAAAAAGGAAACTATTTTATATGATTTACAATAATCTATTGCATTTTGATTGATTCGTAATTACTAATCTATCGCAACTTGCTTGCTCGGCTCCATTTCCTTTCTTTTCTCTTTTCCACCTTTCCAAACTGAACTCTGTACTTCTCAAGTTTATATTGCATTATGGTCATCTACGTGTTCACTCATTCACATTTATTTCTTATTACAAACAATAAATGCTGAAAACATTGTGGAAGATTTAATTCAAGTACAAATAGTCGTATTCAGTGTTCCCCGCACCAAAAGGATGAAATGAAAGGAGACAAAAGGAACGCACTGGCTCTATAATTGACTTCTGCCCCCTTCAAGAAAATAAACAGCTATTCGAACGGAGGCAAGGACGTAAATGGACACCGTCAAAGTGGCCTCGTCTTACTGTCGCACTATACTCACGTTCCCTGGCAAAACCTTTTGAAACAACCTTCCTTTCTAAACGAAAGCTCGTCGCCCGTAAAAATTGAATGAAGCTGTGCTTTCCCCCGCCGCGAGATAAGAAGGGGAGGGAGGTGAAAACTTTGGCGGTAGTTCGATTCTCTGCCTTTTGCGACGCCACAAAAGAGCACTGAAGAGGAGGGACGATAATTGCAAAACCTACAATATAGCTAACGAGGCGAAATGAGAAGAAGGTATCGCGAGCGGGGCCCTAATTCGAACACATTTCACGCAATATCGGGGCACCGGAATCGCGGCCGTGGAAATATTGGGGCGACAGCATTAACGACTTCGCTAATGCGGCGTCTCGCTGCTCTGATGGTCTTTCTCTCTTTTGGGGCCAAAAGAAGTCGAAATATTCTACTCTTTTGGGTTCTTTAAGAACGATAGCAGTTTCAGTACGCACCGTTAACCCGATGAAACAAAACACATTGAATCATAAAAACTAAGATTTAATTGCTTAAAAACACACGCGTGCAACTATTTCAGTTTCACGCGGTAAACAGTGATATACAATTTTTATTTGTCTATTAGGTAAATTTAAAATAATATCTAAACCAACAACGCAATTTCAGTTTTGTTGTTCATAATGATAAATATTTTTTACTTTGTTTATTCTGAGTTTACTTCTTACTAGTACAGATCTTTAGTCTCAATTATTGTTCTTCAAATATGCATTTTATTCCATATTAAGAGGATTTATTTATTTTTAATTACTTGTCTGTACATTACTGCGTTCTGTTTCACAAACTACAGCTTTAGTAGAAATAATAACTGTCTATGTCAATAAACAGAGGTCTTTTTTGCAACCACAGATCGAAATATTCAATTTATGCTTATGGTTAGTGCATTTCTGTCTAAAAAGGAAAAACAAATGCATAACATATTTAAAAAAACAGTATTTGCTCTAAAATTCACGATCACTTAAAGGAAGAAAAATACATTCGAAGTAAGGAAAGGACTTAAATGGGTGCTGTATTGATGTGTGACTAAAATTACGACTCAATTTCGTGTTTGAACCAAACTATTGCAGAGATTTGCAAAGCTATTGCAAAGCTATTGCAAAGCTTTCGACATCAATCTCTCTCACGTTGAATTCTTAGGTAAAGATACATTAATTTTGATGCAATTGTAAGGGTTCAAAGGCTAAGACAACACAAGCAGTTGCATCATGATTTACTGAGCCAAAGATCAAATGGAGAAATTCTATGACGTTGTATTGAGAAAGGATTTGCAATATTTTTTTTCTTCGCAGAACACAAAGCACTGTTAGGATAGATTGATTATTATAAGAGTAAAGCTAAATCGCAATATCAGGGGAATTGCACAACGTGCTTAGGGACAATGCAAACAGAGCCCGAGCAGCCGCCTTGTGGAGTCTTCGTCTGCCGGCGCAGAGCAAAGATCGCTCAAACGCGGCAGGAGGCCATGAGCGGATTAAAGGGGAATTGGCATCGGGCGGCATTTGTCACGCGCGGATCCGAATGCGGCGCGCGTTCACAGCCGCAGCTGGCGCCGCTGCTGCGCCCTGGCGGCCGGCGCCCTATACGCCCTCCGTGCCCTGCATGCGGAGGAGCCCCGAACCCTGGACCTCCACACCACCCCCGACAGATACATTTCCTTGATCGGATGAACGCCGTCATAGACCTTTCTCTGAATGTTCTTTCAGCGCGAGGTACAATCTCTTTGCTGCACCGATGGTTCGCCGCCAATCGATATGAACTGCCTCCGGAGCAGGCTTTGGGGAAAGAGAAAACTAGTTGTTTTGGTGCTTTTATACGTTTCAGAGGTTATATATAAGGCCTACGTCGAAATTGCTCTGAAATATACTTGGTATTCTCTCAATATTTTTTTAGATTTTGAGAGTCTACTAGTCCTCGTCTTTTAATCGGAAATGACAAAAATTACGTTCTTTTAATGCTATATAATTAAATAAAATAAATCGAGATTGCTACCGTGTTCGATTACGAAGAGGAGGCATAGGAAAAGGGGAGAAGACGTGATGAACTTCATCGCATAAAATAAAATTCAGTCGTGTAGAGAAACATGATGATGGATTATAGTGTCAACAGGATTGAAACCGTTTTAAAAGTGTAGTGTTTGATAACAAAGGTAATGCAAGAAAATAAGGGAAAACAAGTGAATAAGTTAACTTAAGAACACTAGATTTTAATATGCACCCAGGTTGTCTCAATGCAACTGTGAAATAAGTTGTGAAAAATCTCAATTTATTATTCGTAACCAAGTTTCTGTGGCAAACAATGAATTAGTCACTTCTAATTGCAATATGAAAATAACGTTTTAAGAGAGAACAGATACTTTCGTATGACAAAATTAATTGTGGAACTAATATTTGATCGAAGCAAAAACTGCTTGCTGAAACATTTTAATACTACACAGCTTGTGGACTACAAACTGATCTTAATGTGCTTGCTGACAACAGCGACTGGCAAACAAATGAATTAGTAGCATAGGAATCACGGAGAGCGACACACGAGTGGACCTCTGGAAAGGCGGCTGCGGTTGGGGCAATCAGCCATTCATTCGGAAGGCTTTGGCGCGTGGCAACACCGAGTCCCGTCCAGCACCCACACCCCTTTCAATCGCCTTGAAAGCATTGCACGCACGCTCACCCACTCACTCATCCTCTCGTTCCCCAACCTCTCTCTCTTTCTCGCTCTCCCTCCCGCCACAGAGGCTTCTCCATAGGAAATAGATTAGTATGCCTCTAGAGAGGGGTTGGTCGAGGCATCATATGTTGGAGAGATGGGATGACGGGAGTTGAAGAGAGGACGGGAAGGGAAGGGAGGATGGGAGGTAATGGGAAGAGTTGAAATAGTTGGAGGGATGGGAGAAGGGCCGACGGCGATCTGCGCGGCCGAGATGCACCTGACGCCCCCCCCCACACCGCGACAGACGCGCGCCCCGCGGCGACAGCACCAATTAGGGGCGTGGCGGCGAAGCGCAATTACCCCCTCGCGCCCACCCGCGCACACGCGCTCGCCCTGGCGGCGGGAATCGATGCGCGGCGTCTGTGGCCAGCGCCGCCCCCACCGCCCCCGCACTGGGCGCCACGAGCTTCATCGCCCAGCGGACAAGATGCATCTCGAACTCTGCAGGCCGTTTCGGGCGAGGTCGAACACGGAGATTTTGGGCGATTGCTTCTCCGGCCTCGTCTGTTCCGTTGGTGAGTGCAGGCGGGATACACCAGGGAGGTGGCGGTGGCCAAACCCAGCTGCGGGGAGAGACCTGCACGTCGGCTTCTGATGTTGCCCCTTCATTTATTCTCTCAACTGTCATCGCCTCAACTGGAAATAGCACCACGCTACAGATTGGTCCCCCGTGTGTGGTAGTGGAGTGGCTACAACGGGCGGGCGGCGTTTTAAGAATACTACTCCGGCGTCAGCCTGAGACTGATCGCAGAAACTACAGAAAACTAGTGATCAGAGCAATCTGCCAATAAATTATCGGCTATCCGGGAGACGCCGCGTCGTTGGCTGGGGTGCCGACATTTTGCCTGACATGTCGCAGGCTTCCTCAGGGCAGTGAGTCGTCAGTGCCCTGATAGCCGAGAATTTATGGATTTGAGCTGCGGAAGCTTACGTATACACCTGCCAATAGAATGCTCCTCCAGACGGACTAAATTCCAAGCAGTTGCGTATCTGATGCCGCCGGGTTTCCAATACTGAGCCAGCGGGGTTCGGGGTTCGAACCCCACCACAGCCGGTGCGAGCATCCGAAGAAACTGAACAAACTCTTCTGCGCGCTTCGCACCTTCTGAGTCTAGATTGAGTATGAAGCAGCAGTGCTACTTCAGACCTGGCCGTTTCCACCCTTTGGACGACTTTGTTCACACGCATTGGCATTCTCATCTCTTTCGAGATGATTTGT